TAAAAATAGACCCTGAGCAGTGGGGCAAAGTCCCGGCAGGTTGAACTTCAGTCCCAATTTATGGTCTGGTTGTGGCTGCGGCGTTGGTTAGTCTGGCTGGTCATCAGGGAACAAATTCCGGAGCACTGGCAGTGTCCCAGTTTGGGAGTTTCGTGGGCCTCGCTGGAGGCATAGACGAGTCAAGCAAGTCCAGGGGGAGACCTAACTGACTCAGGATCTTCGTTGCCTCTTGCATGGTGCGTATGGGCTGGGTCCCCGCGGTACCACAAGTGGTGCGCTCGCAGTAGGGAGTTAAATGGTTGCAAGTTTCTCCTCTGCGCCATTGTAGCCCCAGAGAGATCAAAATAGAAAGCGAGGGTCATCTCTTCAAAAATGTAGGTCAGGTGTTTTTTGGCGGGTGCCAGGACAGTGGATTTATCGTTCGGGGTCTGGAACTGCCGGATTTTGCCCCTTGTAGCCGTGGATGGGGCCTTAGCAGGCTTGGGTATGCGGAATACACCGTCTAGTACAACCGCTTTGGCCGGCATCGGTGTCAGTAGTGCTGTGAGGAGCTGGCGGGCAAAATTAGGTAATTCTGCGTCTTGTATGTTATCAGTAACACCCCTGATCTTCAGGTATTTTAGGCAGCGTTTGTCTTCCAGTGTGGCAAATGTAGCTCGTTAAGCTGATTCTGCTGTTTGAGCTCCTGAACCGCTCGCTGCAGTTCCGTTATTTGGCAGTCATGGGTGTCTGTGGTGTTTTCCACTGCCCCAAGCCTTCTATTGAAGCCTTGCAGGGTTTCCCGGATTGAGATATTTTTTATTTTTTTTTGTGGTGATCCGCCATCAGTTCTCTTATGGCCTCCATGCTCACCGGTGTGGGGGTCGCAGCGGGCGGTTGGGACTGCATCCAACTGGGCTGGGGAGGGTATCCCCTCTGCTTCATCCGATGTCTCATCGTAGAAATCTGAGCATCCACCGTAAAGGAATGCAATTTTAGAGCCCGAGGCGTCTTGGGCCTGCCGCAAGAGCTCGCCGATATCAATGCCTATCCTGGGTTTTTTGGGCTTGAGCTTTTTTTGTTTTTCACCCCATTTGGTTCTGGTAAGCATTAGGGTCTCCTCAGGGTGATTTTGGCCCATATTTGGTGGTTGAAAGCAGGTTTTTTCGTTTGTAGTGGCCTGGAGCTCAGTAGCCATGCGACCATCCGCTTCAGTAGTAAGCACCGCCCGGATTTGCTTCTTTTTTTTTTAACAACAAAAAAGCGTTGTGGGTTGCAATCTGCATTAAGTAAATTGCAACCTTTTTGTACCAGGTGCTTGTCTTCCTTATAATAAGGTAGGGCTGCTGCTGTTGATCTACCAGATCAACCCCACCCATATGCCGCTTATAGGCCTTGATGCACACTGGCTTCCTTGTGCTCTCAGCCCTGCCACGTACAGGGACCTCCACAGTCCTATTAGTGTGGATGGTGGTAAGAAGGTACACATCTTTCTTGCCTCTGTACTAAACTGCCAACAGCTCCTCTTGGCGCAGAGCTGAGGTCTCCCCTCTTCATAGCTGGGTGCATGCAAGTTGTCCTGGGAAACCTGCGTGGTTCTTTCTGATTGTGCAAGCTACTGTATCAAAAGAATACAGTAGCGTGAACAAAGGGACACTTGTATAAAGATTGTCTAAATACAAGTGGTACCCTTTGTTCATCAGGGGGAATATCAGGTCCCAGACAATCTTGCCACTGGTTCTGGGCAACCTGGAGGTTCAAGGTGGCTATCCTTTCCCTCATACACCCAGAAGGCCTGAATATACCCAGTCTTACTCTCAAAGAGCTTATACACCTTTGCACCATACCTGGAGCTCTTGGAAGGAATATACTGCTTGAATCCCAGCCTACCCTTATACTTCATCAGGGATTCATCCACGCATATATTCCTTCCAAGTATATAAGCCTCTGCAAACCTGGCAGCAAAGTGGGTAATCAGGTGGTGGATTTTATACAGTCTGTCAAACTGGGGATGCTCATAGGGGTGCACAGGCTGTTGTCACTGAAGTGCATGAAATGTAGAATCCTTTCATACCTCTTCCTCGATATACACTGGGAGTAAATGGGGGTACAATGGATGGAGGGCTTCTTTAAGATGCCCATCAGCATAGTCAATGCCTAGAATTTCTTTTAATTCTGCCACATCGATGGGGGCCCATTGCTGCTTTGCAAAAAAAGTCAGGCTTTGAAGCACAGAACTGATGGGCATATAAATTATAGTTTGGATGACAATATTCCTCAATACATCATTGCCCAGAAACACCTCGTAGCAAACTCACCCCTTCAAGGGAGTTTGCCATGAATTTTTGGAGGGGGCTGCTTGCCCGCCTCCTGCCTGGTGACTATGGACCCTGGGATGTATTGCCCTTTAAGAACGTATTTGGGCATAATGGATTTGTATTGGGCTAATGCTGGCCCTTTTAAGAACCAACGGGGGACCTATAGTGACGTTTGGGAACAATGCCCCTTTTAAGACTGTGTCCCCAGTCTCCTGTGTAGCAGAAACCATCAGGCTATCCTTCACGTTTTCAGTTTCTTGCAAGTAAAATTTCATATGGATTTACCTTCTACAAATATGTGTATCTAAGCATTCGTCTGGTTGTTCGGTAAAAAGCCCTAAAAGACTACAGTGAGCCACTGCATTTGACATACGAACAAAATACTCAACAAGCAGACCAGCCTGGTGTGAAGCGTGGCTCCAATTTACCTCCCCATTCATTTTTATTACCTCTGAATTGGAAAGCACAAACACACTGTTGTATTTCCTGGGTGGCCGCCATCTTAGCATACGAACGCTCAGCGGTGTTTGGTCATCGAGTTTCTGGAACTCAAATCGGACGCTCGGCTACACGAACACCGCTAAGACCTCCAGAGTTACATATCTGCCGAACAAAACATCCGAACAGCTCACCGTTAGGCTAAATGAAAATCCCAAACAAGGGGATTCATACGAACCCCAGCTCAGCTCTGGATGGCAAGGATTTTGTGTGGAACTCATTTCGGCTATTGCCTTGTGTGCGGTCGGTCAAATGTACACTTCCACCTAACTCCCGAACCCCTGGTCCGATCTGGGTGATTTTTGAATATGATGCTCACCCATATCAGGGCTATCAGAGGATACCACATTTAGGGGTGTACCTGGTATATTTGGGGTATATCCAGAAACTGGGGAAAAGTATGTACATTATAATGTGATTATCTGGTAAGCTGAAGGGAGGAGATGGGTGGGAGGTAACGTGTATCTGGTTATTGTGGGTGTCTCCCTTGCATGGGAGAGATGCATATAAGCAGGGTATGTGGAATAAAACATCAGTTCTGCTCCTGATACTGTGTGTCGTCCAGTCATTGGGAAAGGTGATGGGATACTTCTGGATTATTTTATTCACTGTGGATACCACTCTCCGGGATTTTAATGCTTGTTCCTGAGCCATACAGGATTACCAGCGGAAATAGTCTGTTAGAGATCAGCACTCCGCTACACACCTCCATAAACTGTTGGGGGCTAAATCCTGCTACATCCAAATTGATGCCAGGATTTGCAGTGAAGGATGGGATATTTGGCCTCTGGCGATGTGGCATTACCCACTCCTTAGCAGCCATGCCAGCTGTAGCAGCATGCCTCCTTCTGCCAGGGAGCCTAGCAGCCACAGATACATCGTTAGATAGGGGAGAAACCGGTACCACTTTAAGGGAGATTTTAAGTTACTAGGGGAGGAAAGAGAATGGAAGAATAAGGAGGAATAAAAAAAAAGATGCTTTGCCTCCCCCAACAGCAAAATAGAAATAAAATGGTAAAGAGGAGTGAGTGGGCAATTGGCAACCCACTCACCTGTTTTATTCCCAGGGCAGAGCATCCAAGCCCCTCCACTCCTTGGCATGGGGAATGACATCCAGAGCTCAAACACAATGCTCTAGCATTAATTGGCTGATCTGGCGGAGGTAGCAGGCATTGCCACCCCACTGTCAGACACAGCCAGACAGGAGAAACCAGTACCACTTTAATGGAGATTTTTGGCATTTGTGGAGAAAGGGAAGGGGATATGTTTTAATTTTTTGTGGGGTGGAGTTTGAGAATAGATAGAGAGAAAATAAAATAACAGTTTTCATTTCTCTCTAACACTACTACATGATATCAAGCATACCACCTGAAAGAATAATTATAAAGTTGAGAAACCCTAAGTTCAATTACAGTCAAAGTGAAGAGCGGGGTACCCTAATTTGGGCAGACTGAATTTTTACAAAAGGCAATCTGCTCCTTGAGATGAGGTGAGAGCAAGCCACACACTCTTCTTCTAGCTAAGAGGGTCAACATTAGGGGGCAAATGATGTTTAGAGAGATAAGCTCTGACCATTTCTGAGGCAGGACTCTCCTTTCTGCTGCTAGCACTCTCAGTGGGCTCAACTATATCCTCAAGCACCTCTTCCCAAAATGCAGTTGATCCACTCAGCTATGTGGTAGTGGCACTGCCACTGCCAACACTTCTGCTAGCAGACATCGCAGCCTTCTGCTGAACTACTCTTTCAGACAATATTAGGTAATTTTGCTGCCAGTCACACACCCTCTGAATCAACTCTCCCTCCAGGTTGTTAGGCTATTGGATCTGAGTGCTAGCTTTCCCTTAATCCTTGGATCACACAGACAAGTTCGCATCAGTTCGGCAGAATTATCAATTCGCTCATGTAGGCAAACTTTAAGCTGATCCTTCAGCCTTCTGACCAGTGCTACTACATCAAGATGTAGAGGGTCACCTTTAAAAACCTCTTGGTGTTCAAGGAAGACACCCATCATCACCATGCTCCCTAGATGGCTGAAAACACGGATTACCTGTCCCAGATTGGCAGTATTCAAGCTTAAATTTTCAGTGGCATCCCTTAATGGTTTAAGGACTGCCACTAGCTGAGCGATCACTGTCCAATCATCTCTACCCAGTGGAGAACTAATACCAATATATTGGCCTGGTGCCAGAATATGGATTGCCCTCTGCTGCTCTAAAATCCTCTCCAGCATCTCCAAAGTAAAGTTCCACCATGTACTGGCATCTTGTTGTAGACAGTAGGTGTGGCAAGACCTGCCTTCTCTTGCTCCTGCCTCAACAGTTGGCTAGCCTTCACACTGTGGTGGAAGTGCCCAGCAATCCTCTTCATCAGCCAGACTAAATGCAATCCCCGCAAGACTGGAGGTAATACTGATATCCCCTCCAGGAATAACCGTACTAGGAGCAGGGGATAATATTAGCAATGATAACTCCTGTGCTGGTGTGCCAATGTCAGTGGTAGAAGCGGCGCAGCACTAGTGGTGGTCATCCTTGGAGAGAGATCAGGAAACAGCCTT